CGGGACAATCTCAACTGAGGCATTTCCGCCATCATATGTGCCTAAGGAGCCTTTTCTTGGTTGCTGATGTATGTAGGAAGGCCCAGCCCACTAGGGGTGGTACTATCCACCCCACCCAGGCATGGGGCTGTGTGTGTGTGTGTGTGGGGGGGTGCTGGGCTGACAGCTGAGCAAGCCATGGGGAACAAACCAGCAAGCAGTGTTCTTCCAAGATCTCTACTTCAGTTCCTGCTGTGCACTTCTGCCCTTAATGAGTGAAACCTGGATCAAATGAACCCTTTCCTCCCCCAAGTTACTTTTGGTTGGTGTTTTATCACAGCAACAGAAGCAAACCAGCAGGACAAGCAGGCAAGGCTGGTCTCGGCGATTAGACACTGTGAGAGCACCTGCGGGTCCTAGAAAGGGGATGGAGAACACCAGTAGGCTCCTAGAAGGGGACCAGCTTTTTCTGGCACAGGGGGTTAGGAAGCGGGATCACAAGAAAACAAGACACTGGCACCTCGAAAATATAGATTTATTTGTCACTAGCAAAAGGAAGTTCAATACTAACAGGCAGATTAGTCCTTCCATGCATCTGCAAAGTGCAGCCCTGACCAGCTCCCCTAGTTGCTGCCCCAGGTCCCGGCTCCGGAACCCAGTCTTCTTACATCATTTCCTGAGGATTTCTTAAGGTGTTCAAGCAGAGCCCCATAGTATCGGTCCACAGGTGGGAAAGGCATTACTGCAAACTGCCTACTTACAGCAGCATCATGGCAGAGTTCTTAAGGTCTGCCTGGAAGGTATGGCATTCGAGCAAACCCAGAGTAAAAACTTCAGTAGAGAAATGTCCTACGGAAAAAAAAAAAAAAAAAAAAAAAAAAAAAAAAAAAAAAACCTGCTGAAGCTGTTTTTGTTTTTATTTCCTAAAATGAGTCAAACTCTAAAGCTTCATTTGCCAGCCCCGTAAGTCAAGTCACCAATGGATAGTCTACGCCTATTACATAACTGCTGATGGAACACTGGGCCTGAATGTCATTATACAAACTCTGGGCCAGGCCCAGCATTGCACACCCACAGTGCCAGCTGAGAGTTGAGGCAAGAGGGTGACAAGTCCAAGACCTGCATGGGTGGCATTACATATCTTGAAGCATAATGACCCATTCTAGAACTGAGGCCAGGAGAGGGTTAGGAGGGTGGGGAGTCTGTCCCAGGTCTCTTGGCGGAGGGAGAGTGCAAGAGCTCAAACCCCTTTGCATGCCTCTACTGGCCATATCTGGCCTTTCCACCAACAGAAGTCTATGTGATGTGGTAGTGAACATCTGAACAGACGACACGGCTCTGCTGATGTTGTTCTAGGAAGATGAACATGACACCACACCTTCTGTGTGATGCTATCAATTATATTTCCAGAGGGTCCACAAAGGAGTGATTTATGTTTATGTAATTACATAACTGTGACAGACTTCAGCTGACAAGTCACCCTCATTCTTCGATCTGTACCCTAGTAAGAGGTGCTAGTTAGAAAGGAAAAGTAGCTCCATAATAACTGCCAACAGTGAACATGGCCAAAACCGCACTTCGAGTCTGGTTCTTGTCCCTGGAATTAGTTATCTCTGTGAGAACCAAAGACCTTGGGGGAATAGTAATGAGAGTGATAGCATGGGGTGACACTAGATAAGAGCATGCCTAACACTGGGCAGTACCACCTCACCCCCAGCTGGCACACAGGGCACAAACACTGGAGTTCACTGCCCACCAGGGCAGTCTCTGCTTCAGCTAGAGAGAAGGGACCTACAGTCCAGCACAGGCACAGGCAGTTCACCAGTCTCGGGAAACAGGCCTTAAAGGACTTGGAAAGCTACGCCGACTGCCAGAGGCTTGATTTTTAATCAAGGAGCCCCACTCTACCACACAGTTCCACACAGAGTGGAGGGGCAGGGGGACCAACAGGCCTCTGCAGTAGCATGTGACTCAAAATTACAGGAGGGCAGAAATATGTTAGATTCCTTTTTCTCTTTAGGGTGTCACATTGCCCATGCTGGCCTCAAACTTGCCACATAGCCAAGAGAAGACTTGAACTTGTGATCCCCTGCCTCCACCTTCTGAGTTCTAGGAATTTGAGGCAGGTGTCACCACACCTGGGAGAGATGGTTCTGAGGATCTAACAACCAAGCAACACCCAAGCCTCAGGTTTCTTTTTGAAATACTTAATCTAAAATCACTTAATGTAAAATGTGAAAATGAACATAATTTATAAGAATATGACATAGATCAATGTGTTCAACAGGACTAATTCAACTTCATGCAAAGCTAAGCAACACAAGAACAGGTGATTTTTATACTTGAGATAATAAATTAACAAATTAATGAAAATTAGTTTTCAACTGACCTGAACAGTTTTTGGAAATTAAATTGTGGCCATCAGACCTTTATTTAGAATTAGTGTGAAAGTAAAAAATTATACTGTTCCAAGTAGAAGCAAGGTCTCTATGGTAAAATATCTTCATTTGTTCTTTGCTATAAAAATACACACCACTTCCTCCTGTCTTCCCTGCAGCTGCACCAGGTTTTAAGGCTCAGGACTGTCACATAGTCATCTTTCCAAATGTACAACTGTCACGACTGGTCTAACATAAGAGTGACAGAACAAGAATCTTATAAAAATATACAAGCGGGAGAGCCATCTGTTGTGTTATATTGTCCCATTTCCTTCAATTATTAGAACAAGACTGGGCTGTGGCGCTGCCCCTCCTGGTGATTGACAGCATTCTGGGAGAACAAGCACACATTCCTGAGCCAGCAGGGTGAGCAGGGATCTACTGATGACCCAGCAGTAATGTCTGAAAAAAACTATGTCTAGCTTGAGCTGTTGGAAAATATTATCTGGCATCTTCTCGTGATGGAATAACTTTGTGTATTTTTTGTTTTTTTTTTTTTAAAGTTGAAAGGGAATCAAGTATCTAAAACATTTTAGCTAGCCATCCAACTGGTTTTTCTCCTCTAATCTTACACTTTAAAAAATAACTTTAATGTAACGTTGGCATAATTTATATTTGCTCATAATAAAAACCAATGAAATTTCTGTGTCCGAAGTGGTGAGCTTTACAAAATCTTCAACATGAGGAGAGGCGTATCTTACAGAATCATTTGGCTGAATCATAAGGCAATCAACAAGGGTGGAATATTCCTGTCAGAAATCTGACTTGAGTGAATTCTGTAACATGATAGTTCTCCATAAATCTCTAAGCCGGATGGCTGCAGCAATGTGGATCATGCTATGTTGTCATCATTACTGAACTTGGAGGAGAGCAGACTGAAGGAGAAAGGAACAAATTTGGTGCCTGCACCAACGTAGAATTTGTTCTGAAATTCAACCCTACAAAAAGAGATATGAATATGTATTAAAACACCATTCCTTCCCCACCATGGACTGCACCCTGAAACTGAGTAAATTAATGTTCTTACATTTCCTAAAAAAAAAGTTCCTGGCCGGGCGTTGGTGGCGCACGCCTTTAATCCCAGCCCTCAGGAGGCAGAGGCGGGCAGATCTCGGTGAGTTTGAGACCAACCGGGTCTACAAGAGCTAGTGCCAGGACAGCCTCCAAAGCCACAGAGAAACCCTGCCTACAAAAAAAAAAAAAAAAAAAAAAAAAAGTTCCTGGGCTAAAATCTTGCCATCTCTTTGCATTCTTAGCATAAACATGCTCACCAGATCATTCTCTCCCCAGTCCACACCACCCCCCTCCCCATCCAACCCGGCTCCTACCTGCATCCTGTGTCGCCTATGCGCCACCGCAACACCCTGATCTCCCCCCACACCCCTGCATGTGTCAGGAAGTCTAGCACACTTCCAGCTCTCATACAGCAGACATGAAGGAAGAGACACTGGAGTTCCTCTGTCATACTGGCTACTGGAAACACAGAGCAGCAGCCAGACACAAATACTGAAAAGCACCAAGAACACCCTGGAGATTGCTGAGATGGCCCAGGGGGTGTAGGCATGAGACACCAAGCCTAACAACCGGAGTTCAATGCCCAGGACTCACATGGTAAAAAGACAACCAACTCCTGCAAGTTGACCTCTGACCTCACAGCAACAAGGAAGGTACTAATCCAGAATTGTCAGTGACACCTGCCACTCCCAATATGAATAAAAGTAGGAACATACACAAGCCAGGCATGGTGGTACCTGTCTGTAATCCCAGCACTTGGGAGGCAGAAGCAGGGAGACCTCTGTGAGTTTGAGACCAGCCTGGTCTACATAACAAGACCCTGTCTCAAAAAAAAACAAAAACAACGACAACAACAAAAAGGGGGGACACACACAATTGTTTCACGGACAGCAACTTTCTTTTTTTTCTTTTTTGTTTTTCGAGACAGGGTTTCTCTGTGTAGCTTTGGAGCCTCTCCTGGCACTCGCTTTGGACACCAGGCTGGCCTCGAACTCACAGAGGTCTCCCTGCTTCTGCCTCCCAAGTGCTGGAATTAAAGGCATGCACCACCAACGCCTGGCTAGCAAATTTCTTTTACTTGTGATAAAATTGTATTTTGTTTCTGAACCGCTAATTCATAGCTGGGTGGGGAGTAGCTACCCATTGTAAGCATTACATTTAGAAAGGGTTTTCTAATTTTGTATTGGTTACTGGCATATGCACATGTGTATGTGTGGGTGGGTGCACTTACCCACAGCACACATGTGACTGTCAGGTGACAGTTGGTGGGCATCAGTTCTCTCCCTCTACCCTGTGGGTCCTGGTGATTGAACTGGGCTTGGTAGCAAGTATTTGTACTCACTGAGCCTTCTTGCCATTTCCTGCACCCTTCTCAGATTTCTTATATTTTTTAGTGCTACATGTCTTTGTGTATGTGCACATGAGTGAGTGAGTGCAGGTGCCTGCAAAGACCAGAGGCACTCACTGGATGCCCTAATGCTGGAATGACAGGAAGTTGTGAGCCACCTAATGCAGGTGCTGGGAAATGAACTTGGGTCCTCTGAAAGTGCAGTTTACATTCTTAACCACTGAGCCACTTCTCTAGCCCTCATTTTCACTTTTCACTTTTAAAATACTGTTCTGAGGACGTGTGTCACACTCACCAGTGAAGGCGTATGGCATGGAGAAATGCAGAAAGTCCTTCCATGACCAGAAGGATAAAAATAGTCAAAACTGCAAAGAAAGCCATGACAGGTAGCAGCAGCAAGACCCCGTAGGTGGTGTCCACACGCAGGCCCACACGCATCAGCATGGCCCACAGTACATCAGACAGCTCTGCAAAGGAAGCCATTCAACAGAGTTGAGGCTGCGAAAACATAAGGCCTCTCACCACCCACGTGTCAGTAGGAATCTCAACCAGTCAGCCTACCCCCGACCCCCAGCAGAGGACCCGAACCTCTGGAAAGAGCAACAATCTTAAGAGGTTCGACTGTGACCTCCAATTGCCTAACAGCAAGCTCAGGGCCTGGACTGGATTGAGAGTCCTTTTCTGAACCTAGCAAAGTGACCTGTTCGAAGTCTGGGTCTACTGACAACAAGGCAGCCTCTTCACCTTCACTGTATGGGGACTTAGAGGGCCTTGCTTCGTCGTCCCCTGGTGGTCAATGCTCTCTTGTGATTACCCATCTCTCTCACATGTCCCAAGGCTTTGTCACAAAATATCAAGGCAACACAACTGCATGTTTTGCTGTTTATGAGGTGAATTCAGTCAGTGACCAGTTACCTCCAGGCTGGAGAAAAAGTGACATGGCCTCTCATTACAATGCACAGGGTAATGCAATCTACAGACTAAAGAACACCCCCACACAGGTGTGTCTTACATGCAGGCTCACATTAAGAGTTCGGAGGATGAGCCATGCTGGAGGCTCAGTTGTGCATGAGCAGAACCGTGACCATGAGGACTGACTTTCAGGAGTCTGAAATAAATACTCCACTCAGTAAAGCAATGGCTAGGACACTCAGGAACATGAGACAGAGGAGAGCATCCATGCCAGAGGTCATCAGGCCCTTAGTTCTCAGAGCTGGACTATGACCTACGTGATCGGAAGGTGGGTTTAAACAATGAGAGTCCTTGTCCACCACCACCTGGAGAGCTTACACACTCGTCAGGACTAAGCAACATACGTGCATGTGCCAGGCTGAGGGCCCAAAGCCTCAGGTAGGATGCGGTGTTGGAGATGCAGCCCAGGCAATACTCGATGGAATGGATGGTCTGCGTCATCAGGATCTCCCCAAAGTTAAACTGAGGGACAACAGAGACACCATATTGCAAACCTATTCCACTCTGAGTCCCTGGCTGGCCTCAGGGACCGAATGCTGGCAGCTTAAAACAGCAGGTCCAAGATGTGAGTCATGCTCTCAGTGGGACTATGGGGCTCACCAACCCATCTCCCCACACTAGCTCCCCAACTCTATTCAAGCTTCAGTTTCCTCTCTGTGACCCAAACACCAGCCCAGAACTGTGATTGCCATAAGGGCCCCATGGTTAGAGACATCAATGACATCTGAGCTAACCTCAGAAACTACCCAGTATCCACATGGACATTTCCCAGCTACAGGTGCACAGTGGAACCTCATGCTTGAGACCAGGGAGGGAGGGTAGAGGCTGCTGTCCCCATGAAGAGCACCCGGGCTCTTCCTCACTCTACTTCCTGTGCTCTGTGAACGTGTGATGCTCTTACTTGGCCTGAATTAAACTCTGCCATATACTAATGACCAAATGAGCACAGGGAGCTCAGTCAGTCCACATTAAGCAGCCAATGAACAGCTTCCTCCCTCACCCATCCGACCTGTCAGCTCACCTCCTCACATGTCACTTCCCGGCAGCCTTCTTCCATGCGGTTGCTCCCCTCTTCTATGTCCTGGCTGCCCAGCAAAGAAACCTCTTCCTCACTGTCCTTCCTTACAAGTGTGTAACCGCTCTAGCGGGAAAAGAACAGTGTCAGTGCCTGGAATGCCACAGGGCTGGGACGAAACCCAAGCAACCGCTTCTCTTATGACTCAGCTCTCTGGGAATAAGAAAACTGTCTCCAGGAGAATGTACACCTCATATGCTTTTAGACTGTCAAAGAACAATGGAGGGAAGTGGAAAATACAAGTGTTGGCAAGAATCAAGAAACTAGAACCCTGAACACTCCTGCTAGGAGTTTAAAATGGTCCAGCTGCTAAAAGTATGGCAGGTCCTCAAAAACACAAATACAGAACTATCTTGTGATCTGGCACCTCTACTCCTGGACATACACCCTGAGAGTCCATGGAGACCTGAGGAAGGCCTGTGCACGCATGTTACAACAGTCTCATTCCAATAGCAACATCAAGTCTCTAAATAAAGACAGCTTTGGAGGAATCAGAACCTCTGGACATGGGGATGACACTCACCCGGCTCATGCCAAAGCAACTGCGCCCATTGTGCAGCCACAGCAGGAAGAGTGGCTTTCCTAAGAAGAGCACAGGGACTGACAGCACGGTGAGGGCCAGCAACACTCTCTGGACATGTGCCTGTCGGTGCAAGGAAGAAGTCACTGAGGTGTGGAGCAGACTGTGCGGACCAGGGCGTCTCTGAGCCAGGGGCACAAGACAGGTGACTGCCAAGTCCTGTGGCCAAGGGCAACCCTCCACACTTCTTCCAACTCACAATGTTCAGGACACAGCACTGAAATATTAATTTTAAAGCAGTAAAAATACTTTAGGAAAACTCTAAATGGAGGTTTGGGTAATGACTCAGTCTGGACTGTGGCTGTACAAGCTTGTGACCCAACACTGGGGAAGCAAAGGCAGGAAGAGCTCCTGAGGCTTGATGGCAAGTTCCACTGGCCTAATTTGACAATTCCAGGTCAGGGATAGACCAAAACAAACACACACACACACACACACACACACACACACACACACACACACACACACACACACACA